TTCATTGATCTTTTGCAATCGCTCTATGTGGATCTGCTAATCTATCTCTTATTCATTTGTGTGGCTTTGGAGTGTTTCACAAGATCCCTAGTTTAATGGCACCATCTTCTGTCTGTTTGTCAAAGTTGTTCAAATATTTTAGTGTGTTTGTTTGTTTTGATGGTGATGCAGGAGTTGAAGGAGACACACAACTTCTGCATGTCCTTGAATTTTTTGGTTTTATTTTGGCCTGCAGGGTCTTAGAAATTTTATTTTTCCTCTTTTCTCCTTCACTCCTAATTGCGCAAGGGCAGATCCCCTAGAAGCTTTACATACAGAAGATTGCTCCTGTAAAATACGCATACTTTTAGGTCCCTTTTTGTAGTTTGTGTCTATCTGAAAAAATTTGTACTATTTTCAGACTTAGGTCAGACAATTTTTCTGGTGATAGTTTTAGATCAATTTTACGACCCATCGCTAGTTTGTCTTTTCCATGTAGCTTTCTGAATCTGCCCTCCCTCACCTTGTAACAAGAGGAAACACACTGAGACTTGGTGTTTTCTCTCTCTTACTTAACAGTTAATTTGATGTTTGGGAATTTTCTGTACCCAAGTTATGCTGATGGTGTGTTTTTTTTTGTGTGTAGTTTTATTTTTCCCTTCTTGTTATATATCATTTTTGGAGGAAATACTGGGAGATGGGGACCTAGGGTATCACCATTATTGTCAGCTACCTGGAAGTCTCAGTGTATATTTTGATCCACCAAAAAAACCTGTCTATTCAACTGCCTCAAACAGGCATCTTTCTAGCCATCAGCACTGTAACTCTAAGTCTAATAGTCTTTGAACACATAAAATTATTGTTTCTTACCAAAAAAGGCTATGTGGACTACTTCTAATGGTTAGTACCAAGAGTGAAAACACATGGTTGGATTTGCAAGGAACAGGCTACCTGTAACAGCTCTGACAGACGCTCATGTTTTGATACCCATTTGCCATTATCAATTTGACCACAGCCTAGACGAGGAAGAAAAATTCCCCAGAAAGTCTGCCTAGAGGCAAATGAGTTTCAGTAACGTAACTAGGTTTTTGTTTAGTACACAAACCTACCTCAGTGGGGACCATTTCCTCTCACTACCTTCCCCTAAATAATCAGTATTCTGATGCTTAACAAGTCAGTCTGCATCCAAGAGCTCAGTCATGTGGCCAGAAGTTGATTCCAGGCAATTTCTCTTTCATATTGCCCTTGGAAACACTTTTACTATAAACTTTTATATTTGACTCCTAGCCAGGCCCAAATAACTCTTTAGATCCTTTACCAGCCTAAAGCTGTATCCTCTGTGGTACATTAGAGAAAAAATTGAGATGCTATGTGCAAATGTTGATTTCATGAAGTTTGTTTTGATCTCTTCTCTGTAGCTCAGGTCCACATTTCATGTCCCAAATAAATGATCTTTAATTAATCTCTGGCTATAGAATTTCAGAATCCAGCAGGATGTTATAGTTACCTTTTTTTTTTTTTAAAGGAAGCCTTTCCCTGAAATGATCTCCTTTGCCACCCTTGATGAGTAAAGGCTCCCAGATGGGCTTTAATTAGAGATACTCCTTGAATATTCAGCTAACAAAAGGTTTAGGGTTTTATGCTAAATTGGCTTGTCCTGTTTCCTGTGAGTTCCCCCAGAGAACTTTTGGTACAAATTACATGTCAAGAAATCAAGTGTCCCCTCTTCTCACTTGTAGGAGTTATGAGGTTACTTTGGAGCCATCACCAGATACCACCAGACAGATGACACTTTGTCCCTTGAAATTCTAAAATATCCCATAGCACCCTTAGGAGTTCAGTGCAGCACCCTAAGGCACCTCAGCACACAGTTTGGGAATCACAGATATACAACCTTCCAGCCTTTTTCCCCATGCATATGTATATGTACACATACATATACACTCACTGACATTTTTTGAGATTATACTATACACAGATTTATAAACTATGTAAAAAACCCTGATAATACTATACAGATTTATAAACTATGTAAAAATCCCTGATAATAATTATACATTTTTCCATGTTATTAAATATTCTCCTCTAACACTACTTTTGATGTTGTATTCTATCCTATAGATATATCAGTATTCATTAAACTAAGTCCCTATTGTTGAACATTTGGGATATTTGTGATTAATCTTTCTATTGTAAACAGTGCTTTGATGAACACCCTAGAGAATAAATCTTTGCATACACTGACTATTGCCTTGGGGTAAATTCCTAGATGTAAAATTGCTGGATCAAAGGTTATGAATATTTATTAGAGTTTTGCCCTCTAGAAAGAGTATAACAATTTACACTTCCTCTTATATGTGAGTATGTGCTATAGGCTCTTCATTTGATGCTAATAATTTTATTATAAACTATTTTGAATATAGGATCATATTCAGGTATTTTAGGCACTGTGCTGGGCACTTACACAAATACACATACATCATTTAATCTTATTTATAAAATATCATGTTAAGCCTCCTTAACAACCTTGTAAAGCTGAAATTATCCCCATTTTACAGATAAAGAGACTGGAGTCAGAAAGATACAATAGCTTTTTCCAAGTCACACATCCAAAAAGTTGTAGTGTTGGGATTTAAACACGTTTAGAGCTATGATCTTATCATCATATTATAGATACTTCAAGGACTTGATTGGCTAATAATAATAATAATATCTGATGTTTATATAGTGCTTATGTATGAGGTACTGTTTACATGTATTATCATGTTCAATTCTCATGCCAAGCCTATGAGGTACTATCTACTCTGTGCCTGAGACACTGAAATGACTAACTTGCCAGGGTCATACAGATTGCAAGTAGTAGAGCTGGTATTTAAAATCAGGCAGTTTAGCTTCATGGTCCATGCCATTAATGACCAAGGTACAGTATAATAACCTGCAGAGTTGCAGGAAACTGTTCATCAATCTCATTATGCATGCTTTCTTAAAGGAAGAAAAGTGTGGCTTCACGAAATCTCATACATGAAAGGAGAGTTGTTGTCTAAGAAAATGTCTATCCAGCAATTTGACTACAAATTGCCTGTCCCTATACCTGCAGCCATCTTTCTTTCAGCAATACATAGTCTTGTAAGCTTGAACCATGTTCTATCCAAGCCTAAGGGATATAACTCAAATGAAAATCTTCTAATCATTGTAGTGACCCAAACTCTTGAACAAAGAAAACAGTTAAAATTACTTAGAAATACTAAATATTATAATTTGAGATGGACAAACTTACTGAAGTTTACCTAAGTGTAATCCAGAGTCTTCTCTTACTGGTGTTTGTTGGGTAAATAAATGAAGTACTCTCATCGCTATTCATTATTTTAAGCATTTTCCTATAGTCTTACTTTAGTATTTAGACATTATTAAAAATTATGCAGATCATGAGAAAGGGCTATATTTTTATGTCATTTCTGTAAATGCTCAAAATTCTTTTCTTTCACCTCCTCCCTTCCAAGAAAACCAACTTAATTAGCCATAAAACATGTTATAATGAATGGGAAAATATTTTTAGTATTTTTATGCAGAAAATGTCTCATTAAAAGCAAAGGCTTCATCAAGCAGGTTTGAGCTGCATAAGAACTTCTGCTTTATGACAAATGACTAGCATGTGAAACTGCTCTAGATGAAGAACTAGAAAGCCCTAAGAGGCCCTTATCTCCTTTACTTATCCTTGGGCTGCAGTGCAGTAATGTAGTGAGTGTGACATGGCACTCAGTCAGCACTTAAATGAGCACTGATGGACCTGCCTGCAATCCAGCTACAAATAGGAAAAATGTTTTTATATTTCGTTCACTATCATTCAAGTTCTTATCTGGATATGGCATATCATGTGGATTCATTTAGATGAAGTCTGGTTTTGGCTGGATGTTTGGCATCATGTGACCCAAATATTTTATACCTATCTTGCATATTGTAAAAGCCTTAAAGGTGCACAATTTGGAGTCATACATGCAAATTTAATTTCTAATAAAAACCTTAACTCAAACCCACACTGTTGTAACTTCTTTAGACTTTGGGTCTTGAGCCAGAATGACAAGACAGCAGGATTGCAGACATTCAGGCAGGCAGTGTGGACTGATTTGGTCACAAAAGCCATAGTCCTTCACTTCAGTGATGCTTGCTCAGAGGCACAAAGTGCTCCCTTGTCCCCACTGAAGCCCCAAAAGGCACATCTGTGGTGATGTGTTTGTAGCAGCTGCTGATAGTGTTTGCAGGTGTTCTGAGGTGGGCTCAGCCTCATCATCTGTGACCCGTGCTTGAGGGTTTGGGCTGAGTTGTAGCCACATCCATCTGGTCAGGGCTGAAAGCCCCAGAGGCAATGACATCACCATGATACTAAGTTACCCCAGAGAACTAGCCTCCTTTAGAGAATGGGAAAGCATGAAATGATGACATGATTACTCTTCAAATGGTAATTTTTCACATCACTTAAGTTCTTTCCCAGATCACCCCACCAAGTCAGCCATATTGTCACTTGGCTAGTAATAACAGTAGAGGCAGTTGTGGTTAACATTTCTTGAGGTCTTACTTTGTATCAGTCAGTCATTGGGCTAAGCACTTTAAATGCCTTGTATCATTTAATCCTCCAGCCCTATAAACTAGATACTATTAATATCCCTATATTACAGATGAGGGAACTGAGGGCAAATAACATAAGTAATCTACCCTGAATCCTTCAGCTTGCAAGCAGAAGAACCAAGGTTTGAAGTACATATTTTTTTTCCTGATTTTAGTCTGTAGCTATTCTTGCTTTACTGCATTGTGCAGCCAGTAAACTAAAAACTATGTCTGTATTCCAAAAAATAGGCATTTCTTTCAGGAATGAAAGGAGGGGAAATTAATTTGTTCCCAAATGCCCATGATTTGAGCTCTTAGCCAGCCCAGTCTCCCTCACTGAGAGGCAGGAAACTGACTCCCAGACAAACTGATGTTTCCTGAGGAGCAAGCACAGGGCTGCAGGTTGCCACCAAGCTTACCGTTAAGAAGTGACGGTCCTTAACCTCACGCCTCCTCTGGCTGTGAGCTGGAGGGTAGGGTGGCAGTGGAGGAGCTGCGATGGAAAGGGGGGCAGCTGCTCTCTGCTCACGGCGATCACTCCGGCTCCGGTGTTCTGAGAAGGAGAAAAAGCAGTAATACTGAAATACACTTGGCGTTTTCCATTTCTCTTTCCCTCTTGGGAGTATTAGCAAAAGGCTGTAAAAAAAAAAAAAAAAAGTGAGTTTTCATTACTTTAGCTAATTTGTATACCAAATCAGATTTTCAGAATGGTTTTTAACTGAACTTTCACTTACTATTAATATGACATTGGAGGCATATATTTCAGTGGGTCCATCTCATAATCTGTACAAGAGGGCTCACTTCTGGGAGTTCAGTGTGACTTATTTCAGAACAACATAAGCAACAAAAACAATTACAACAAAAGTTGAGAACATAGTGGAAGATTTGCTGCCATTACTACTGGAGTAGAAAGAAGGCACAGACACACCAGAGCTGCCCGGTCCACCCACAAGAGCTGGCTCTCACTGGCTCAGGGGAGCTGATTGCTACATATTCAGGAATTCGTGTGAGTTCATTTTTCTTTTTTTTTTTTCCTTTTTTATTGCATTTTAGGTTGTGGGGTACATGTGAAGAACATGCAAGATTGTTGCATAGGTACACACATGGCAGTGTGATTTGCTGCCTTCCTCCCCATCACCTATATCTGGCATTTCTCCTCATGCTGTGAGTCCATTTTTCAACCATTGGTACCTGGAAATAAGTCATGTTGAGAGTATTTACATCACATGTTTGTTGAGTGATTAAAGAATGAATTAATGCTTTCATTAAAATTATAATATATTCTATTTCTCTGTATTTTGAATGGGTTCTGGTGAGTGCCCTCACTGTCATGGGCTTTTCTAGGTCCTGTTACTTGTTTCTGACAGGCCTTCTCGATGCTGGCCCCATTTTCTTTGCCCCATTCAATATGCTGCCCTCTAAACTAGGAACTGAGCACTCGAGCTTTCTGATTTCTATCTATGTCCAACTTGGCTGTCCGTGTGCCTCGCTGCCTGAACATAGTGTCTACGTCAAGAAGATGTGATAGTATTCCCCATCTCCCTTTGCTTGGGATTCTTCTGACAAATCTTGGCTCCCATAAGCAATCAGAGCAAAGTTTTCAAAACCATGTAGGTAGTCTTTGCTAAACTGCCTCCAAAGTCAATGTTTATCAGAAGACTGTTTAAGAAAAGCATCTTCCTTGTTAAAGTGCCCACCTCCATCATTCTGCAAGCAAACAGTGGGCTTTTCTAAATGGGTAGCACAAGGAAAAGTGTTTACATTCTTAAATTCATACAGAAGAGTTGCTTACAGGTGTTACTGGTTAGGAAGAAGTGAAAGGATGGGAGGAGTTGGAAGGGAGATATCAACTTAATTTCCCATTCAATTGCTCCCCTCCCACACAATCTTAAATATCTCTTTCTTTGCCCTAGGCTGGGAGTAGCCTGGCTAGATTAATGGCTTCCTAATAATACCGTTTTCTGGTGCTGACGCAGGGAGAACATTAGTCCACTAGAGCCTGAAACTGCAGTGGAATCTTGCTCATTATTCCCTTAAACCAATGAAACTTATGCTCTAGCCTGAAACTTGAAAGGAAAGGAAATATAAAATATAATTATCTATTTATAGTTGCTTATGAATCTTTCTCTCCATGTTTTATGAACATAAATGATAGCGTCACATAAAGTCATTACTGGTTCTGAGCATTAAAGAATTACTTTAAAAAGGGGAAAAAAGTAATAAGATCCTAAATAACTTGAAATACATTTAGATGCTACTTCCTCCACAAAGCCCTTCCTGAAGCTCTATGGAATAACTTGGTACCTTTCTTCTTAGCCTCCCTATGACTTTATTGAAATGACCTGATTACTTGGCTGTCTCTCCACTAGACCAGGGATTCCTTGTGGGCACCATACTTTATTGCTTTTTGAATCCTAGGTTCTGGAACACTGCCTTGTCTTCAATAAAGTTTGTTGAGGGGTTTGCTATTAAGCAGATCTTGAAGGCAGCCAATTTCTAGGTTTTAATCTTGGTTGCCCAGCTCTGTCCTTACAGTCTCACCTCCAAAAGCAGCACAGAGCTGCTGCCACCACAACTTCATTTGTCTGTGCTTCATTATCCACTATCTCCTGGTGGAAGCCAGGCCATTCCAGCTGTCCAAATAGAGAATCTACAGGGATGCTCACTGCGGCATTTTCTGAGCATGGCAGTTGTCTTGATAGGTCACTATTATTCATAGCCACCAGATGGCAGAAGTGGATTATGCTGATGAATACAGCACTATGCTATTGTGTTTCTTGGATAAGGTTAAAAAAAAAGTCACTTTCTAATTTTAATTCTACACTGCATGTTTTTAATTCCATGATGGCTATAATTCTTGTTTATGGCTCTCTGCAGTGCTATTAAAACTACTACACCCAAGATATGCTATTGAGCCAACCGCAAAACAAGCCAGTCTGTGGAGGGTAAAATGCATCTCCACAGTCTTCCTTCCAAACCCCAGGAGGCCCCACATCCCTCTCTCACTGTCCCCCAGGAGGAAGTTCAGAGAAAACTGATATTGGCACTTGCTGTTCTTCAGTTCTGCTTTAAGTCCAAACCTGACAAGGCAGTGAAATGTGATAGTTTACGAGCAGCTTGGTGTTAGCTGGTGGAATCCATAAAAACCTAATCAGGGATGACTTATTAATAAAATAAAGGGATAAAAATAATTATGCCTAAAGGGCTAATGTTACCAAGCTTTTAATGATGGGGCCTGAGAAAGGATTTGGTGAGAACAATCAGATTCCTTTATAGTCACCATGTACCCTCAACGTTCAACCAGTTTTCTGCAGAACTTGATTCAATTCCACAAATGTTTATTGAGGACCTACTATATGTCAGCTTCATGCTAAGTGCTTTGAATAAAGTAAATTAATAAGATATCATCCTTGCCCTTGAGTTGCTTATAGATTAATGGCTTATTAGAAGTTGGTTGGTAAAACAGACCCATAGTGGTTGGTTATAAGATTTTTTTAAGTGGCAGTATTGGAGGATGCAGAGGATATTATGGGAAGTGTACCTAATCCAGGCTGCAAAGGAATGGCAAGTGTGGAAAGAAAGATTTTCAGAAGGTGGCTTCAGTTAAAGAAGAGCTTTTTAGCCAACTATAAAATTGAAGTGAATGGTAAATATGCCAGAGATGCTTCTAGAGGATACTGATCATCACTTTTCATTGTAAGCATGATAATGTCTTCTCCTAGTAACCAAAGGAAATTTTTAGAAACAATTGTTTTAGGGATATTAGAAGGTTAGCTCTTTCATTAAAAGGAAAAAAGATGAAGAAGGCAAAAAGATGAGAACTGAAGGCAACAAACTATTGAAGATGAGGATAAGGGAATGGTTTTAAGTCAACCAGTATAAGAAAAGGCTGTGCTCCTTTTTTGACTGCTATGAGCCTATCTCCGGCTTTCTCAGGTCTATGAGAGACATGTAAATATCAGTGTCTATTTCCATGAGACATAGTGTATGGCAAGGAGGAAAAGAGCTCTGGCAGGCATTTCAGAGGCCTAGGTTGGGTCCTGGTACCACACCTAACCTATGTGTGACTCTGAGCAAGTTTCCTCACCTTCCTAGGCCTCTATGTGTCCTACTATAGAATTGGGGCATTAGACCAGATCACTGGTTCTCAAGAGAAGCAGAAGAGCCCTCTAGGGGATCATTCTAGTTGTTACAATGATTGGGTGAGAGCCGAAGATGACAGCCATCCAATAATGCAGAGGGTAGTCATTGAAAATGTGTCCCAGGTCTCAAACAATTTTAAGTGTCCCATCAGAATCTCTTATAGGGGAGAAGCCTAGAGCCTTTTTCTGAGTCAAACCAAATTTCCTTTTCATTATAATCCAAAGTATTTAGTTTTTTGCTCATATCTAATATATACTAAATGTACCAGTTTTCATGGCCATGCCCTCCAGCCCCTTGGAATGGTTTCTGAGCATTTGCATATTGAAATAGATATTATTTTAAATAATTACCTTTTAATTTTTCTTAACTATCATATTTAGACCATAGCGCTACTTTTCTTATGTGTATGGGTAGGGTATGTTACCCATGGATTTCATTTCAGGGTAGAAAAGGGAGTGTTTCAAAGTACTTGCTACAACAAGAGGGTGTGTTGGGGCTCATGGGACAGAGGACCCCTGGATGGGACAACCTCCAAGTTGTCTCCTGCAAAAGCCCCCGAGCCCAGGATCTATCACCTCTGCGCAGGGCTTGCAGGCTCTGCCGGGCGTGGCGGTGCAGCTCCTCCACGCAGGGTGGCCTTGTTGCCGGGAGGAAGATGTTCCGCTGTTGGTGCCATGGGGCACGGTAGTACACACTCAGCTTACTCTCAATGTCCAGGTTGGAGACGGCTGCAAGACAAAAAAGAAACAGGGCATTGTCCATCAGTGGCTTGAAGTTGTGCTTTTGGCCAACGGTGGGGTGGGGAAGAGGACAGGAGTAAAGTCTGGGTGGAGAGGAAGTTCAGACTACTACATTCACATTAAGAACTAACTCAAGACTGGAGAAAGGTTTGATGTTTATGGTACTGATAGGGACAACCTTTGGCACTGAGCTGAGGCATGGGAGACTCCAAGACACCAACTGTCTCCTTATGACCAGCTAATTTCCTCTCCATACCTTCCTTCCTCACCTTTGGCACAGTTGCTCAACACTGACAAGCCCCTGGCCAGCCTGCTTGGGGGTGGAGATGGGGGTCCTGCTTCTGAAAAATGTGGAGGAAAACCTCAGAGATGAATGGAAAGACTGCCTCAGCTTCAGCCCTTCTGGCCGCAGGGCCTCAGAGCTGTAGTTCTGCACTCTGCCCCTGCTGTCTGCCTGAACTTTGGCCTATACCTTGCCCTGCCTCTGTCTCTTGGGGCCCCATCCCAAAGGTATCCTTATCATGCCCTCAACCTACCAGCTCCATTGCCTGTCATCTTTCAAAAGCATCACTCAGTTTCCTTGATTTCACCCAGGGGTGAGCATATGCATTAAAGAAACCATCACAGGGGTAATGAGTATTAAGAAAGGGAAACTGCAGATGCAAGATGAGTTCTTGCAACTCATCCAAGATATCAAGGAATGAAGGCTTCCTTCCCCTAAACACAGCATTTAACCCACTATCATTTTCTTCATGTACACATGGAGCCTAGGATGGAACTCTCCATGAGTTAAAGAGAAATTCTGCTAGAAGCAGATGTTAGGAACCAGAAGGATTTTTACTAAGAACTGGCTGCACAGAGGACCTCACAAGCACCTGGGTAGCCTGTCAGCCTTGGGAATGGTGAGAACTGGCCCAGTCTGCTTTACCCTCCAGACCCACTATCCATATCTAGTCTCCTATCCTGGGCCAGCCCACTCCTCCCACCTTCCAGTCTCATCTCTTTCCACTCTGGTTCAGCAACGGGGGATTGACTGAAAAATCAGGCTCTTCCTGCACGCAGAAGTCAACTCCTGCCCAATGGGGCAGAGGTCATTACCAAAACCAGGAGAAGGGGATGTGAATTCATGTGCTCATGACAGCTGGGAGAATGGACAGAACAGAAAGTCTGTCTGTGGAAGGAATGGGCAAGAAGCCACATGGACAGTCCCAGAAGTAGAGGGACTTCTGAGCACCCCTTCCCTTAGGCTCATCTCTTCAGGAAGGTGGGATCCAGGGTACAGGGCTGGGCCAAGATGACTCAGAGATAGACCAGAAGACTCTTTTCTAGCCCTTTATTCCCTCAGCACTGCTGACCAGAGGCTTAGGGTGGTAACTTTTGACAACACCTCAGAAACCAGATCAAGTGACCATGGCTCTTCAATTGTGTGGAGAAAAACTGAGCCCTTGCTATTTATTTTAATGTTTGTCTGAAGAAAAGACTCATCAGAAGTGCTTGTCAAAAACACATATTCCTAGGCATCAACCTAGACTCTGAGTCAGAATTTCCAAAAGAGAAGCCTGGTAATCTGTATTACGTGAAAAGTTATGTTTATCATCAGGCAGGTTTGAGAAACACAAAATGTCTTCTGATGATGCCTTAGGATCTTGCGGGAGTGAAAGGAGTTGGGCAACATGAGGGAAGGGAAGAGACTGCTGAAAATGGAAATATCCATCTACTCATGGAACATTTCCAAGTAGCTCTTAGTCTCAGGCATAGCTCTAGGTGTTGGAATACAGCACAGAACAAAACACACAGGAATCCCTGCCCTCATAAAGCATTTGTTCCATTTGTTCTCTGGCTTTGTGCAAAATGGTTTCACTGTGATTCTGCCTGGACACAATAGGTTGGACACTGGCAGATTCTTCCTGTTTTGGTATTATACCGTTCCATAGGGATGGTCTCAGGCATCAAGACTTTAGAGGCCCTGAACTCCAAAAAGGCTATAGACCTCACTCCTCCACCTCCACCTTTCTACAGTAGGCAATCCCAAATTTCAGAATCAATTGGTACATCATAAAATCAGTGTAAAGATGTTCAGCAAAATTATCTTCCCTCATTATTAAATATTACATATCAAGTTACCTGAAAAAAGCATTTTTTGGTGCCCGTGCTTTGCTGATGCCCTAAACACATTTCTACTGTGCTTGTTGGGCAAACCAATGCTGAGTTTCTGGGCTGCTAAACTCTGCCTGCTGCTTGGGACTGTGAATTCACAGATGCAAAGAGTAATGCATGAGTTCCAGCATGGGCAGCCTATTCTTGGCTCCTGGGAAGAACCAACCCTCACAATGACAGCCTTCAAGGGCAGGGATTCTCACCTTTTTCTCTCCAAAATCTTTTTCTTTCTCCATTGAGAAGCTATATTGGATTTCTGCCACATATTAGCAGGTGAATATTTCACTCGGTTGCCACCATGCTGTCTATCTCTTAGACAGGGAAAGGAAGGAAAACTAATGTCTTTGTTCTCAGTGATGTCCTTTGGTCACAGAGCATTAACTAGCATTATGTGTACACTAGAGGAAGGCAGACAGTCACTAACAGAGCTCTTCCAGGGAAAACTGTCCCATTTTCCTTCTTTAAAAAATATATTCCTTTTCTTAAGTAACAGTTCAACCACAGTTGAATCCATTCATTCATGAGCTGCTCCACTGTCATTGTAAGCCTGCCCTGCATCTTCAGGTTCACCATGCTCCCCTTTCCTCCCTTTTTAACAATCTCACCATGGCTGAGTTATGCATGATGGCAGGCTTAGTGCCCTAGGAATGTTTGTTCTCATGAAAATGGAAAAAAGCAAAGCAAGAAGATTTTTCCTCTGTTTATTTGGATACCTCCAGGGGCCACTGTGTGATAGGCAGAATTTTAGAATGTCTCCCAAGGTTCCTGCCTTCTTGTGCACATGCCCTGTATAATCCCCTTCCCTTGAATGTAGGCAGAACCTGTGACTTATGTTGCATTACAAGGCAAAACAGGTTTTACAGTCCATACTCAGTTGACTGAGTTAATCAAAAGAGAGTATAATCCTGAGTTAATGCTTAAAAGAGACAAGAAGCAACAGAGATGCTCTCCTGTTGGCCTTGAAGAAGCAAACTACCACGTCGTGGAGAGGGGCATATGGCAGGGAATGGCAGGTGGCCTCTAGGAGCTGAGGGCCTCCCTCCTACAATTTCAAGAAACTGAATTCTGGCAACAACCAACGAACTTGAAAGAGAATGCTGGGCCTCAGATGAGATGAGATGAGATGAGATGAGATGAGATGAGATGAGCCCAAATGACACTGATTTCAGCCCAGTTAACCCTGAGCAGCGGACCCATTTAGCCCATACCCAGAACTCTGACCCATGGAAATTGCAAGATAATAAATGGGTGTTGTTTTAAGGTGCTAAGTTTGCAGTACTTTGCTATGCAATATTAGAAATAATAAAAAATTTATTCTATTAGTCTGTTCTCACACTGCTAATAAAGACATTCTTGCAACTGGGTAATTTATAAAGGAAAGAGGTTTATTGAGCTCACGGTTCCACATGGTTGGGGAGGCCTCACAGTCATGGCAGAAGGCAAAATAGGAGCAAAGTCACATCTTACATGGTGGCAGGCAAAGAGAGCATGTGCAGGGGAACTCCCCTTTATAAAACCATCAGATCTCGTGAGATTTATTCACTAATACAGGAACAACATGGTAAAAACCAGCCTCCATGATCAATTACCTCCCACCAGGTCCCTCCCATGACACTGGGAATTATGAGAGCTGCAATTCAAAATGAGATTTGGGTGGGGACACAGGCAAATCATATAACTAATAGACACTCCCACTACTTTATCTACTTCTCTAGAGTCAGTCGCTTGCTTTGTCTTGTCAACTCCTCCCCTCTGTTACTGCTCCCCAAGAAAGGGGAAGATAATGGCAAGGGTTACAATAGGAAATAAGGCTCTATGTGTCATTTTTATTCTCCACAACAGGAAAAAGGTTATTTGGATGTATCTCCCTCATCTAAGACTGTAAGCTTTTGTGGGATGCTCCAACCATATGCCAAGTTCTAAGCCAGATGCATTATATTAATGATATCATGGTAATCTCACACAACTCAAAGAAGAAAGTATTGATCCCATCTTATAGATAAGGAAATGGAAACTCAGAGAAAGTAAGTAAATTTTCTAAGTCATTCACCTGGTAAGTAGAAGATCTGTGATCAGAAACCATCTCCTTTTAGCTTCTAAGCTGCCACTCTTTCCCAAACCAATACTGAAATAAGTTTCCCTAAGCTAATGGTGATGGAGTAGGGGAAGGAGAATGGGCCATCTGCCACATAAAAAGGATTCAGTGCTTTTCAAAATAAAGTGAAAAGATTCAGAACTGCTACTGTCTGTATCACCCATACCATCAGGTGTAACCAAGAACTCAGTGACTTCCAGAAAGTACCAAGCAGGAGGTTGGGAAGATGTGCTCTATTATACCAGAAAGACAACACCACAAACAGATAACCACAAACCAAACTGCTGAAAAAAAATACCATCGTAGGAAATGTCCACAGGGCAGTGAAAAGTCTTTATAGACTGATCTTAGTTCATTCATTCCCTTGTCAAACACTGGAGATAATGGAATTGTCTAGATCTTGATTCATAGTGATATATTGGAAGGATGGATATGGTCATTGGGGTCCTCTGAAATGAGCTGACTTAGACATTAAGGAAAACTAGTGGCTGCCACTCTCTTGGAAAGACAAGGCCTGTTTCTAACAGCAGGAGGAGGCTTGGATTTAGGAACTATTGGGAAGGGGTAAAAAATCAGGAGCAAACCTAGTCTTGCCCCAGCCTCTCCAGCCCAATTTCCCCTGCCTTGCTAGGGTGCTACTCATTGATCTTCTCTTTTCTAACCTCATGAGCATCCCACTCCCTTACAGCTTTATGCCCCCTGGGAGGAGTGCAGAGTGCTTATTGTTAGCCTCTCT